ATTCAGAGTGTTTGAGGTTGTTTAGAAATGTGCCCTTCCCAAGAGTCTTAGGGGAATTCTGAGGATTGTTTCCCTTCTTCCTGAATCTTTGGAAAAAAGATGCTGTCACTCAGGAAAATCTGTAATTAGTATCCATTAGAGGTGCCAGCTTCCTTTTGTAAAGTGATCTCAAAACAAATTTGCAAACGTGCAGCAAGCCGGCGAGTAGAACTAAAAGAAGCAGGAAAAAACACAAACGACAAGGTTGGTTAATGAGGCTGCTGCGAGCGGGTCGGGGTGGTGGGTTTTTGAGATCTGGGGATTGAAATGCCGACAATGGGACAACACAACTTTCAAACTCTTGTTAAAACAGAGAACAAAATATAGAGATTTTTTAAAAACTAGCAAGAAATCTTCGCAGAAAAAAAGAACACAGCATTTCAAAGGCGTCCCTCAGCCAGTAGGAATCGCACTGTTATAGTTACTTTTAAAATATATATATTTCAAACACATTTCTGACTAGTTTACGATTATTTCCCCCCACCATAAAAGAAGGAATCGTTTTTTTTTAAAGAGCAAAATTATTGATCAGCAGATTTTATTTCGTGACTTTTCTCCCCTCTTCTGAAATGGCTTGACTTTAACTTTACTTCGAAAAACGGAACAAAACAATGAAACACCAAACCAACCAAGGGAAGTGTTACATAGTTCAATTGACAAAATGTGAGTAGAACGTTTAGGAATGAAATGTAAATATCGGTGTATGAAAATATGATCACATACTGCTACCATCTTTGCAGATATGACCCAAAGTTTAACCACTGAGGCGTGTGAAGTGAAGAAATTGTGTGCCAGTGACTGTGGGGTACTGATTGCAGAACACAATTTCCCTTGTTGGGGCTGTATTAATGTTGTACTTTAAAAGCACCAGATCTTATATATAATTAATTGTAAAGACAGCTGAAGCCAAGAGGCAGTTACTGTAGTCTCCACTTTAAGCAAAACTCACATTGAGTTTGCCTGAGCAACTCAGGGGTCAGGACTACAAAATTTAACAGCTGAGTCTAAACTTATTGAGATTTTATTTTGGGGCATCCTTTATTAAAAATACACATTACAACCCCAGCCAAGAAAATACAGAGGAAACTAGCTGTTCTCGAAAATTCAGACAAAATTCCAATTGGGGTCGGTGGAACTTTTGCCTGAGTGTAGACTGCAAGATAAGGATTTGTTCTAGTGTATATCAATAATGGTTTGCAGGATTTATTTTGTGACGTGTTATTCCATTAGTTCAAATTGCTTTTAGGAATGCTAAATCCGTGGAAGTTTTAGCTCCTGGATAAATAGCCAATTCAGTAATAACCTGCCATCCCAGCTCTCCTTCAGCAATCCGCCTCCAGAACTAACTAGAACAAAAACTCTTTCCCAGTTGGACCTGTATTAAGAGGACTCCAACAACGTGCTAAACTTTTGGTTCCAACAAGCTCTGGGAACAGCGCGCACCTAAGTAAACACATTAGTACCTGCCAGAGCTGCGGGAAGGATTTGTATAGAAGCCAGCTGAAGAAGACATTGGCCTCTGCTTGCATTCTGAGACTCCCAAGAGAGATCAAAGGGACACGAGGGTTTTTAGCAGCCTTGAGAATGGGAAAAGTGGCTAGTTCCTGCTGCTACAGAAGGGGAAACCCAAGCGAGCACATGGCTGAGTTATTCAAGCCCTCCCACACACCTCCATCTCTCTCTCCTCCCGGTGAAAACAGCCACACTTGCCATAAAAGGGCAAAGCTCTGGCAAAACGCTATCCTGGGTCCCCACAGCCACATAACGATCCTATCAAGTGCTTCTTATGAATGTTCGAGTGCTCGGACTTTCCCCTTTGAATATAGCTGCATCGCACCAGTGTGCATTGGTCTTCTCGGATTTCATCAACAACGCTGGAGCCAATCCCCGTTCTGCTACTCTGCCCCTGAAGTTGGTGGCAGTTTTACCCGACCAAGAAGCGGGCCCACTATCTGTTCATCTAAATATATTTCATTTCGTTTCATCCTTTCACTTAGGAAGAGAACACTACATTTGTCCTTCAGTAGTTAGTGGGGATTTAAACCCAGTCTCATCTACCTTTATCTTTCCCCACTACAATATCCACATTTCATCTGTTCCATTCCACCAGGGTATTCTAGTCCCCAGGGGAACCTCAACTACAATGATTGTCTATAGTGCACCAAGTGAATGACCTCACTGTTTCATTCCATAGTATATTACAATGGCTGTTGGATCCGTGAAATGAATGGGCCCATCAAGTCCTCCTCCCCACTACTCTCAATATAAATAAATACACAGGCTATGAGTTAAGCAATACAGGTGAAGCTGCAGGAGCCAGGCCTTACAAGGGACATTTGGGGAGTCATGTTCCAGGAGCTTTGTTCCACATTTAATAAAATGTGGGCAGAAAATCACTTTCATTAGTTTAAACCTGATAACTTTGCGCCCAACTCCCTCTGGAAAGAGGCTAGATTAAATCACAAACTGCTTATCTTTACCGAGTTATTACCTCTTGATTTTGTGCTTCCAGGGCCCTGTTTGCTTTGGCTTTAGACTTAGGTAAAGATTATCGTTATTAATATCAAACAAAAACATTTTAATTGCAAACACACTGAGGACTTTCATTGGGAAGCCTTGCATGTCAGCGACAGCCATTGAGGTCACAAGGAGTCTCTTGGGGAAATATTTTCTTTATTTAATGAAAAACCTTCTTTATTCAAACTTACTCCAAACAATTTCTCATGTTACCCCGTTGCTGGAGACGACACGGATTTCGGGGTCCAAACACAGCCGGACAATAGAGTCTCTTGACGTCAATATCAGGATGTGAATAAAACCTCCCCATTAGGGAGAGGAAGAAAGAGCGCTTTTTTCCCCAAAGTATGCATGAGATGCTTATGAAATTCCGACCCTCTGTACTCAGAAAAAGTAAAGCTGGTGAGAGTTTTGCTTGAGTGGTACTAGATGGGGACCCTCCTCTTACTTGTTTAGGCATTGAACCAGATTATTAAGAACACTAATAGCTTCTAGCGTGGTTAAGTAAAAGCTTCTTTGCATATTTCTGATCAAGCTAAAGCTCTACATGAAAGCCAGGGCAGCAGCCACCCTCTCTTACCAAAAGCAATCGCTTTTTGTATGGAAAACCATATTCTTTGGAAGTGTAGATTTCCAAAGGTCCTGCCTTCTGTTATTTCCATACAGCAGAGCGTTTCTTTCAAACGTGGAGGGGAGGGGGGGGGGGATAATGAAATTACACCCTACCAATCTTGTTTCTATTTATCACTGCTTGAGACACACATATCCCAGCATTCAATAACTGGAAATGCTCTTGTTTAAGTGGCAGACTTAAAAAAATAAAAACCACCACCGCCCAACCGAATAACAACGTGGGCCCCGGCGAATTGTGATGGCAGGCGACGCAGCCAGCATAGGGAGTGGGGAATTGCAAGTAGTTCTGTAATGGAGAGTTTCTGGCTGCAGCTGAGTGAGCGCTTTCCCTTTCGCCAGCCGTTGCCCCCCACCCAGCATGCTGGCTAAGAAGGAACATGGGAGTGACACCGTATTTTTAAATCCGAAGGATTCAAGTTAGAGCGGAGGTGACAAAGGGACATTTTAACTGCTCGGCGATGGGACGATTCCTCTTGTTAGTTACCATAAAGTGGTGGGGAGCTGGGGGGAGAAACTCAGCAGTTTAGTTTCTTGGTGGTCGCCTCTTCCCGAGATTATAAACAAATCGGTTACAAGCCCTAAAGTCCTTACTGGGAGTAGCTCCTGTTTTTCTACCCTCAGCTCAAGGGTTTGTTTTTCTACAGCACTGACTGAAAGGCTTCACGTGTTGTTTTTCCTCCTGGTCCCCACTTTCAGCCACTTAACTCTTTCCGCCCCTGGGGGCCCTAAGCTCCCCCTGCAGGGTAGGAGAAGGCGGTAGGAGTCACCTTTCTTCGAAAGAAGTCTCTGCCCTCTAGACCCCAGAGGAGCTGGCTCCTGTCAGAGCCCTTTGCTGTCCATTAGGAACCAGCCAGGCCCATAAATTCTGCTGCAATCACGGGCTGACTGCAACTCCTCCAGCTCCAAAAAGAAAATCGGAGAAGAATTCAGGCGACATAGGGAGCTGGTTCAGTAAGGACTCTACTGACCCTCTCCCAGACATTGCTTGGTATAACAGGCTTCCCCCTTCCAGGCTCCTCCAAGCATGTGCAGCTCAGCAGGTCAAACATGCAGGGTAAATATAGCCCCGAATAAGTCAGGAGCCGAGTGGAAGCGCTTTCCCAAGCGATTTAACAAAATGGACTGTAGATCCACTGCGTTTTCCACCGAGGGAGACCGAAGGGAGGTACTGGCCTGGGTGAACGTAGGCGGCCTACACACAGCAGCAGGTCACAAATCCCAGCTGTGGAAGGCTGCTAGTGCAAAATAAGAGGGAAAGAATTAAGGCCTTCTGTGCGGTTCTGAGTAGAAAAGAAACTGTTTAAACAGTCAAAGAGACGCTGCCCTGGCTGGAAATATTTGCAACCTCTTAATTTAAAACACTTTTTATTTGGATTGACCGAATTGGGTCCTGATCTTGCTGAAGTCAGTGGCAAAATGTAATTCTAATGGGAGCAGGATCGGGCCCACAATTTAAAGTAACAATGGGTCGCGGGGCTGGGACCTTTGTAACACAAAGAACTTTATTTTACATACCCATGAAATCTGGCCGTTCTGATATACAATATCACATTCCACAATTTAAATATATATATATGGATCCGGTTTACATAAAAAAGTACTAAAATTATGTACAAAAACACAACCTAAGAACTCTTTAAATAATACTAACAGGAAATCCAAACAACAGCTTCACTCAGACAGGAATGAACTTTTTGTTGAATATTATACAAAGTGGATCACCAGAAAACAAGTAAATATATTAAATAAAAAAGGAGTGGTCTATACAACATAAAAGAAAGAAAGAAAGAAAGAAAGAAAGAAAGAAAGAAAGAAAGAAAGGAAAAGAATTGGATTGTACAATTATCGGAGGAACATTTCTTTTTAAGAAGATTCAACTTTATCTGCCTACCAGTGCCTTTAACAAGGCTCCTGTCTGGGATTGCTAAAATATTAAATTAATTCATTATTTCATTTATAGGTTGTGGGGTGAGTTCCTTGTTATCTGCGTTCAAAATACTACCAGGCCAAATGCAGATCTACTTCTCTACCACTTCCTCCACGCTGGGAAGTTTGGGATCTTCTGAAGAAATACTGTCCACTATCGAAGAAAGACAACGAAGGCTGCTAGAGGCTGAAGATTCAACGATGGAGGCTCCTGGTTAATAATTAAAAAAAAAAGATAGAGTGTTTGGTTTAGTTTTTTTAAACAGGGATCGATACACAGAAGGAAATGACAGAAAGGAACATAGCCCCAAGAAAGAGAGGATCTAACAAGGACCGATATTCACATATTAGGAAAAGGAAACACCACTTGTGAGCAAACTTACAATATCTATATAGAAGCGTACAATATAGTAACAGTGTTCATTTTTTTCTCAGCACTGTCAGTAAGATTTTTTCCCATTAACGGAATCGATCCATCTCTCTTTCTCTCTCTCACACACACACAGATATATACATTATGCACATGTAAAGAGAATCCTGAAGTTTACCTTCTTTGGCGTTGATTGCTAGCACTCTGGAATGATCAGAAACATTTTGCCAGTCGGAGCTGCAGGTGCTCAGGAAATCTGAACTTGGGATCGGAAGTAAACACGCAGAGCGGAGAGGAAAGGGGGGGGGGGGGAGAGAGAGCGAGAGAGAAAGAGAGAGAACATGTATTAGCAAAGAAGATCGCTGCTCCTCGGGGCAGCCTGGGTGCCTGCTGGACTTCTCAACAACGATTTACACTTCCCTCGCGAAGTCTGTTAAATGCTCGCTAGTGTGCCCGGCGCTCTGGATTGACAGACTATATTAAGGAAGGGGAAGAGGGAGAAAAAAAAAGTGGAAGGCGGTTTCGCAGCTGACTTTCAGGGGGCAGGAGGGGACTGAGTACAATCGCTGTGCTTACATTTCCCTGCTTGGGGCTGAAGCTAAAAGGGTCTCCCCCAATCTCCTGCATTTTCTCCTGCTGATCCAGCCTGTGCAGGAGATCCTGCAGCTTCTCTATGTAGCTGATGGCACTCCTCAGGATCTCCACCTTGGGCAGCCGCTGGTTGGGGTTTGCCACAGTCCTTCTTTTCAGAGCCTCGAAGGCTTCGTTGATCTTCTTCAGCCGCCTCCTCTCCCGCAGGGTCGCTGCTTTCCTCCTGTCGGTGGGGGCCGATTTCCTCTTGCAGGTCTTACAAGCCCAGATCAAACACTGGCCGGGGCAATGAGGGGGTTGTAGGCCCGGGGGTGCCAGCACATGCTCCTCTCCACTGCTGTCACTCCCAGCTTCTGGGGGCATTTGGTCCTGACAGGGGGACAAAGTGCCATCGCTGCCTGGGTACAGAGGGGACCCCTCTGCCATCTCCAGCTGCTGCAGGGCTCCATTTTCTCCGTCCAAGTAGAAGAAATAGGAGCTAGTTTCAAAAAGGTCCATCATCATGCTCTCCCCTTGGCCTCTCTGCCTGCTGGAGTTGGGTGATAGGCTCAAAAAAACCCCCAGAGGAGCCACCCAGATGGAATTTAATTAGTGCAGTGACATAAGTCCCCCTGCTTTATATATAGTAGCTGCTGAAACTCTATCCAACTTTTAGCTGTCGCGGTGCATCACCCTCCAAATCTGATTCCAACCAGTATCCTGGGCTCCGTCTGGGGAACATCTCCTGTTTGGCGGGGAGGGAGGAAAAGGGGAAGATAAAAAACGCAAACCCAGCTCGTGAACGCGGGTCCGCGGGATGAAGTGGAAAAAGCAAAGGTGGATTTGGGGGAATAATTCCAAAGGGCAGCGGCCACACCTCTCTGTGCGAATCTGCCCTGTTTCAGATGGGGGGAGGGGTTGATTTTAGAGCAAACAGCGGAGCTTAAAACTGAAACCTCTTCTCCTTCCCTCCTCTCGTGCTAAATATAGGTGTATAGAACGAGGTTTCAAAGGCAACGGTTACTCTCCAAATAGACGGGTTAATATTTTCAGAAGAGTCCATGCTATTTTTTTCCCTCTTCGAAACATGCCATTCCTGTGACCCAAACCATTAGTGCCAGCCCAAGGTTATAAGTGGTACACACTCTTCTGCAACATACACTTGCAGGAAGGCTGCCAAGGCATAGCTCAGCTTGGACGACCAGGCAACCTCTCTTCCACTGATCATTATACATTATTGGCACAGTTACTAAGTTAAACATTGTACTTACACACATTATAAGTTTCAGTGTCTGGTGATCACAGTTATTGATCGTAGAGCAAACTGAGGCGCTCTATATCCTAAAAAGTGACACACCCAGCTGTCCTGGAGAAGGGATGTATCAGGAGCAAAGCACAATCTTACCCTATATCCACCACTCATCCCACCGAGTCTCAGCCCACCAGATGCAAAATCATGTATAATTTCTTTCCTTGTTTGATTACAGTTTGCAGATATTAACAACAAATGTAAAAATAAAGAACTAAGCCCATGAAATATCACCAACTCTATCCATGGGTCCTTCAAACTCAATCCTTTGTGAAGGGAACCATTACCCGGCTGCTAAGTTCCCTGATATAATGGAATTGATCATTGGATCGACTGATCCTCAGAAACTGATTGTGAACTGATACTTCATTGACATTAGGGGCTCATGAATCAATGGGATTTTGGTTCTGACTGAGTCAATACTGCAGGATCAGGTCCCATATCCCTCTTAATAAATCATGGCAACATCTGGTTTTAAATGGATCCACAAAAGTTCAACATGCTCACTTAAACTACTAGTTTTAGTACAAAAGAGTACAGTATTTAGAATGTAAGCTCTTTGGGCCAGGGACTCTCTCCCATATGTTTGTACAGTGCTTAGCACAAAGAGACCCCGATCTCTATTGTGTCTGCTAGCTGCAACTGTAATATATGTAATAAATCATAACATGCTCTATATAGATAGATACATATTGTTTCAAGGGATGCTTCAAAGCAAATGTAATTATATTTTGATTCCTGACCAATGGAACCAACTCTAAGTCTGATTGTGTTTAACTATTGAAGGCTATATTTAATAAATAGTACATACGTTAAATATGTTGTAAATATATGTGGGTTTTCCCCATTATTCTTCTTTCCTTCCTTCCTCCATCAGAGGGAATGCTGGGGGTTGGCACTGCAGAAGAAAAAAAAATGGAAGTTTTCCAAACTAAAATGTCCTGGAAAAAAAATCCAAACAAACTGTGATGCAAAAGAAAAGATAAAAAATAAATGAAATGGAAAGTAATTGATATTAAATAGAGCACTGAGGTGGGAAGTTGGCTTTCGGTTACATTGAACATGTTAATGTGACCAACAATATTTCATTTGAATGACAGCAAACTAGTGAATATCACCTTACTAGTTTGAAATCTGTTGTCCCAACTCCCTCTCCCCACATTAAACATCTATATATGAGAAATGATACAAGAGTGCTCTACAAAACAGATATACTTATATACTGAGAGCAGGGCTGCTGAGAGCAGGTTCGGGCCCCGGTGAAAAATTTTTTTCGGGCCCCCCAGTAAGGGCGGACCGGCTAAACAGGGCCAACGAGGGGGGGGGGGAAGCCGGGCCCCATTCTGGACCTCCGGGCCCTGGTAATTTGTACCAGCTTCTCCCCCCCCCCCATTGTCCCTGCCTATATATATGAAAAAGTTAGAAAGATTGCTATTACTGGCACATATTAATAGGTAACATTGTCTATAAGTTAGGAGGGTCAATAAAGTTGTGCACTGCAAATGGCTTCTTCAATATGTACTAGAAATTCATATTTTTGTGATTCCTTTTGCTCCAGAACAACTGTATCTCTTTTATACAACATTTGCTGTCACACACCTACGGGTATGTTCTGATGGCCCTGAACTCACTAGCTGCATCTACTTGCATTACTACAACTTACACCAGCATATTGCACCAGCTCAAGTGGCAGTGGTGCATTGCAGCTACACTAGGCATCCTATTTCAGGTCCACACACAGCCATTCCCTTTTTAAGTTGTAGGTCCTATGGACTGTTGCACCTGTCTCAACATCCATGGCAAAATTCCTTGGAGCAAGTAAATAACATCTATTTGTACCCTTGAACTGTTTGGTTTGGCTGAGCACCATGTGGAGGTGAATGCATTTTCTTGCGCTATTGGGGCTTGAATATATCATTACTGTGCTACTTTTAGCTAATAGCTCTTGATCTGTCTTGTCTCTAATAAGTCACCAGGTCCAGATGGTATTCATTCAAGAGTTCTGAAGGAACTCATATATGAAATTGAAGAACTCCTCATTATGGTATGTAACTTATCGCTTAAATCAGCCTCTGTATCAGATGACTGGAGGGTAGCTAAAGTAACACCAATTTTTTAAAAAGGTTCCCTTGGTGATCCTGGCAATTACAGGCCAGTAAGCCTAACTTCAGTACCAGGCAAATTGGTTGAAACTATAACAAAGAACAGAATTATCAGACACATAGACAAACATGATACTTTGGGGAAAAATCAATACAGCTATTGTAAAAGGAAATCATGCCTCACCAATTTTTAGAATTCTTTGAGGGTGTCAACAAGCATGTAGACAAGGATGATCCAGTGGATATAGTGTACTTGGACTTTCAGAAAGCATTTGATAAAAGTCCCACACCAGAGCCTCTTAAGCAATGTAAAAGTCATGGGATAAGAGGGAAGGTCCTCTCATGAATCAGTAACTGGTTAAAAAGATAGGAAACAAAAGGTCGGAGTAAATGGTTAGTTTTCACAACGGAGAGAGGTAAAAGCAAGGTCTGCCAAGGATCTGTACTAGGATCTTTGCTGTTCAATATATTCATAAATGATCTGGAAAAGGGGGTGAACAATAAGGTGGCAAAATTTGAAGACAATACAAAATTACTCAACATAGTTAAGTCCAAAGCTGACTGCCAAGAGTTACTAAGGGATCTCACTAAATTGGGTGATTGAGAAACAGAAATTTAATGTTGATAAGTGCAAAGTAATTTCCATGGAAAATATAATCCCAACTATACATACTAAATGAAGTTACCACTCAAGAAAGATCTTGGAATCATCATGGATAGCTCTCTGAAAACATCTGCCCAATGTGCAGTGGCAGTCAAAAAAGCTAAAAGAATGTTAGGAACCATAAGGAAAGGGATATCATAAATATCATAATACCACTACAGAAATCCATGATACATCCACATCTTGAATACCGAGTGCAGTTCTGGTCGCCCTATTTCAAAAAAGATATATTCGAATAGTAAAGGTACAGAGAAGAGCAACAAAAATGAATAGGGATATGGAACTGCTTCCATATGAGGAGAAATTCAAAGGACAGACTGTTCAGCTTAGAAAAAAGATAACTAAGAGGGGATATGATAGAGGTCTATAAAATCATGAATGGTGTGAAGAAAGTGAATAGGGAAGTGTTATTTACCCCTTCACATAACACAAGAGCTAGGGGTCACCAAATGAAATTAATAGGCAGCAGGTTTAAACAAACATAAGGAAGTACTTCTTCACACATACACAGTCAACCCGTGGAACTCATTGCCAGGGGATGTTGTGAAGGCCAAAAATAGAACTGTGTTAAAAATGAATGAGACAAGTACATGGAGGATAGGTCCATTAATGACTATTAGCCAAGATAGTCAGGGATGCAACCCCATGCTCTGGGTGTCTCTAAACCTCTGACTGCCAGAAGTTGGGACTGGACGACAAGGATGGATCACTCAGTAAAGTGCTCTGTTCAGTTCACTCCCTCTGAAGCATCCGGTCACTGTTGGAAGACAGGATATTGGGCTAGAGGGACCATACATCTGACCAAGTATGGCCATTCATATGTTCTTATGGCTTTTTCAGATCTCAGAGGGATTTAAAGCTGCTGAGACAGTACCCAGACTACTGTGGCAATCTTCCATAGACTAAGTACATTGGTGGTTTGTTGTACGTTTATGGAGTGGCTGCTGACTAGCAAGTGATTTTTTTGTCTTTTTTTTTTTTTTTTTTTTTTAGGTAAAAAGAAGGCTGACCTTGCAGTTCAGGCATGAAATGGAACTCAGTAGCTCTGGAGCCAATTCTCTGCTCTGCCACACACTTCCTGCGTGACCTTGGGTAAGTCACTGAGGTCCAGATCCTCAAAGGTATTTAGGCACCTAACTCACATTGAAATCAGTGGCAGTTAAGCACCTAAATACCATTAAGAATTTTTGCCTTGATCTCTCCACAGGGGCACCAGAACAAAGGGGACCAGGGGGCCATGGGTCTATCACTTTTTACCAGCTGTAAGGGTGAGCGATGGGGGTGGGAGGGAGTGGAGAGGAGCCAGCAGGGGGATGGGGTCTTGGGGAAAGAGGTGGTGTGGGAGCAGTGCCTCAGTGAAAGAGATGGCTGGGGGGCTAGGCCACACGGGGAAAGGGTGGCATGGGGTGTGGAGCCACGGTTTGGGTGCCGGTGACACCCTCCACTTTTAGGGCACTTCTGTTGCCCCTTTCTCTCGATGCCTCAATTTTCCATCTTTAAAAGGAGATAATAATCCTGACTTTCTCTCATCCTTTGTCTTTCTTGTCTGTTTAGATTTCAAGCTTTTCAGAGGATGGCCTGTCTCTTTTTTATATGTACTGTATGTACATAACCAAGCACAATACGGCCCTGATCTCCATTGGGCCCTATGGCTACTAGCATAATACAATAATAATAATAAGCTCACTGGGAATTAAAAAAGG